TCGAACTAAATTTTATATATATATATATATATATATATATATATTAGGTTACATCGCGTTGTAAGCAGGAATCCCAATCTTCCCAAGACCAACGGAATTGGAAGTTGCTTAAATGATATGCGAACCACCAAACAAAACGGTCGAAAGCAGTAGCTGCCATACTGTCTATACGACGAAACAGAATCTCTGTAGCTTGCGCTAGTACCTATATATGACATAATTCAAATATTATTTCTATCGTACTTCGCTAGTATTATATAAATGACAATAAATACTAAATTTTTGAATATATAATTTATATTGTTTGTAACCTGTGGCATAGTTGAAGGCTGTAATTTGCAGAGTTCTATCAAAATTGATCCATAACAAATCTCCAAATGTTTTGGAGTAGGCAATCGAAATAATTCACCAAATATTACTTCGACAATACAATAGTCTAAAGGAATTTTGGCTTTGAATGGAAAGTTTAATAGTTGTACAGCACTGTAAAATAAAAATAATTAACATTATTATGCATAAATTGAGAATAACAGTAGTAATAATTATAAGAAAGTTTTTATGTATATCTTTTTGCTTCATCAAATATTATTAGATTGAAGATAGATCAGTTTCTTTCAATACATGCAAATATATATTACCAATCTTTTCTTTCAAAATAACAATTGTTAATGATCTGTCGTAGATGCTCTTCTATCAGAAATCTCTCAATAGCATGACTTCCCGGTAATAATGATCCTTCAGCAGGGCAATCTGTATAATCGAACATACGAAAAACGACAGTGGGCAATGGATAAGAATAAGATTCATGGTGTGGAGGCGGCATCAAAGGTGGTAAATTATGTTGTAACGCTTCACATAGAATCGAATCAAATGCAAGATAGGGTCGTGGAATATGTTTCTCGGCCCAATTATCCTGTCTCAATCTGCGAACTTGCGCCCACAAACAATCTAAATACTCTTCCTGTGGATGAGGTGTGTCACTCGACCATACTCTCAATGCCGGTTGATGTTTCTTGCTTCGTTTATTCAAAAATATCTCTATCGTAACCATTAGATGATCCAATTCTTGTTCCTTTTTCTCATACAATTCTCTTCCAACCCATGGCAGTGTTGATAAAACAGCATAAACATACCTGCAAATTATACATAATTACTAATAAAGATTATTTATTACACAAATCACAACAGAGATAGCTCTACACAAATAAAAGTTTTACACATACCAATCGCGTCTCACTTGCGGTACACCATCTTCGTTTGCAGCATCCAACATATTGTCAAATAATTGCATCAACGATCCACATGATAAAACATGACAATTTACCAAATCAGCTAGAAATCTAAGAGAATATCTAGCTACATCCCATTTACATGCTTTTAAAGAATCCTTAAAATTTTTTACCATGTAATCAACAAATTCTCCACCAAAATTAAAATTTTTTGCATTTAATAGTCCGACGAGGGTGGTATAAATTGTGCATTTCTCTGGCATCTTAATAGCACAGTCTGTTAAAATCCGAAGAATCTTGCTACGAAATACACCTAGATCAGCTTCTAACACAGAAGCCAAACCTTCTAAGTTGCTTTCCAAAGATGATGTTGACTTCTCTCCGACACGATGGATGAGAGATTCAAGACGATCTTCAATCTCTTGATTTTCTGATACTCTCCTACGTTTCTTATATACTCGATCTAAAAACGGAATAAAAATATATATGTGTGCCTATGTATGTGAGTGTGTGTCTGTGAGTATAAGTATGTACGAAGTATGTATGGGGTGTTCGGTAAAGACTGTAATAATACATAAAAATAGATTTCTAAGATCATTTGGAGACAAAAATTCTAGTACAATGTCGAAGCTTTAATAGTTTTTAAATTTTGAGCACTTAAAATTATTGAATCATACTACCAAAAGTTTGCATGTTTAGTATTATATCTGAATCCTGTATATATAATTATATACATACACTTATATATATATATATATATATATA